CTTCGATAACAGCATCATAAAAATGTAACACATACCGTAGCAGAACTTGTGCCACGCTTCGGTCTCAATCACTGTGGTGTGCTCCTTAATTCCTTGCTTCAGTTTCAAGAACAGCGACAATAGTAACAGTTTGTGCACATGTTGCAGGAATCTAGTGCTGATACAGGCTTCGAACAACGCCTTCACTCGCATTTCGAGGTCTACAAGTCTTTCGATCAATTCGGGAATGCTATTGTCTAGACTTGCGAATAGAGTGTTCTCCAGGATGTTAGTCAATAAATTCAACGTGGAACACAACAGTTTGTTCTGTTCTAGATACGTTTCCAGAGCCTGGTGCATTTGTCCATCCAAAATATTGCTCATCAAAGGAGCAGCGACTGCCAGAATGATCTCTTTACAAGTCTCGGTGTTCTTATGTTCATGCAGCAACAAAGTCCATAAGAATTTCTGACTCTCCCTGGTAACGTACATCGTTTGATTCCAATGTGCATACTTTACAACATCTTTCCATACACCTTGCATTTAAAAAGAGAACAATAATTTGCAGTCATATCATTTGCAAACTCTTAATATATAAATCTCAATATATTTCAAATCATTTTATATTTATTTATATACCACTCACTTGTTACAATTACAACACAATTAAAAAAATCAAATCCAGAAAATAAGTTAAAAAATTTTGAATCATCAAAATTTTACAATTTTAATTTTAAATGCAATTTTTATATAATAACTGATTGTAGAAAAATGACAATATTTTTAGTAAAAAACAATAGGCTCAAATAATTTATAAAATTAAAAATAAAACAAGGGCTACAAGGCAAGCTAGATCTTAATGCTAGATTAACTACAAAAACATAAGTTTATTAAAATAAAACGTTTCGGCCTCTATTGAGTCATTTTCAATGTTGAAATTAACACAATTTGAAATCAACGACTCATCTAAAAAATAATAACTTGCCAATATGATAATTTAGACAGTAATATAATAAAATCTAAATTCATCATCGTGTATGTACAATTTCGTTATGATTGTGAGTATTATTTAATATATAAACGTTAAGAAATAGATGATGAATATTCGGATAAAATGTAGATACGTTACAGCGTATGGTGGTCATCAAACGGCTATCTTATAAAGTGAATTTAAAAACGCAATCGCAATGATTCTGAATTGAACTCTTAAACTGACAAATGAGCCAATTCTAAATATTGTCTGTTAACTGGTAGTGCAATATCTAAGAGTAATATTTAAATACGGAAAAATTGAGATATCTTGAGAACTTATTTCATTAGTAAAGACAAATCTAATCTGATACCATGTGACAGTTAGAGGTAAGAGAGTGAGAACAAGTGGACACTCAATAAAGGTTGAAACATTTATTTTAATTAAATTTATGTTTTTAATTAATCCGGCATTAAGCTCTAGCTTGGCTCGTAAACCTTGTTTTATTTTTAACAATATTTTTCTTTATGTTCCCACTACTTTTTTGCAAGCAATTAAAAAATGAAAATTTTTGAATTTATCACTATTGTAATAAATGAATGATATAATTCAAAAATATACACACTGCCGTCAAAAAGTTTCCGGACATAGAATTTAAAATTGTATAATATTTAGGTTACCATAACTCGGTAAAAAATCATCGCAGACAAAAAAATAAAAAAACTTAAAGCTTGAAACTTAAACTTTAGCACCTGCTTTTGATCGCTTTTTTATTTTTTTGTCTGCGATGATTTTTTTACCGAGTTACGAGCATTTTTCGACGGCAGTGTATGTCCTAAAATATTTTGTTCTTTTACTTTTCACAAAGGGTTGTTTTCTTTTTAAGAGACACAACATTCTGCTATCCTTCTTGACATTTAAAAAAGAATGAATAAAAAAGATAGAACAATATTTCCTAAAAGGAAAACAACTTAGATCAACATTAAACATTAAACATTGACATTAGTGTCATAGTTTTGCCTTACCAGACTGTATCACCCACTGTCTGCCGCTTCGATGGACAATCAAGTCTGAGAGCATTGTGGTATATGCCATTTTAATGGATGCAGGCAAATCCTCTCTGTGCAACTGCAAAATTTTATAGAGTCGATTGTACACATCCTGGCAGTGCCAGTAGTGATAACGTAACTCATGTCGCGAGATAATTCCCACTAATTTCAGCGTAAATGTAATCACAGGGTGCGAAGCCTTTTGTCCAGTTTCCCATATCGCTAAAGCCTTGGGTATCCATTCTTGAAAGACTTCGCAGTATTCATAATCAACTGTAGCGCCTGTACAATTTAAATACCAAAGTATATACCGGACAACATTTAATATATTGTGTTCAATTTATATTGTATTACATAATAAATTTAGAAATTTAATGACTACTCGATTGAACGAATCATGTTGGGTATAATGCTTATACAGTTTATTGTAATTTCTTTGATTAATAACAAACGCAATCATTGGACAATTTCTTTTCAAACTTAATTGCTAAATATACTGTTATTATTGCTTTATCAAAATACTATGTCGAAGTTAATTGTGCAAACAGATATCAATATTTCACAAAAGATCAGAGTTTCTGTATATTTTTGTAAATGTACCTGTATATCATAAATTATAAATTTTATGCAAAATTTCATTATATATTTCATATATTTCATACACGTTGTTCAATTTATTTAGAAATACTTAGGATGCTTTTCATTTGATGGCGCAAATTGACACAAGCATCATTCTATCTTGACATTCGATAACAAAGATAGAATGACTTACTAGTATCGACTTATGTCATGGAAAACATCTTATGTGTTTGGCTCTTACAGGCATTTTTCATTTGTTAATTTATTTCGATAAAGCCTAAAATTGATTAATTGCTCCTTACATTCCTTCGTGTTCTCCGCAATGTGAGTGAGCAGATGATCCAAGTAGGTTGGCGAGACAACGTTATAATCCGGCAGTAGGAACAAGTTTAAGACCTTCGCCAATACCTCCTCATTCTTCTTTCTGCACGAATTCATCGTGACGCGATGCTGCGATTTCTACGACTGATAATGCGTCTCAAAGACCTTACCTCGATCGTATGCAAACAAGCAGCAAGAAATCAACGATGTTGCAGCGATGAAAACGAACAAATTTTATTTACCTTCAGCAAACGATGATTAGTACCTAATGACACGTTGGAAGATTCGCGAGAGGCTGATAAGCCTCCAGTTTGAGGAAATCAAGAAAAATCAGGGAAATATATTACTCACGACATTTTCCAACGTGATAATACGCGTCCTCGGCGTTTTAAGAGCCGTTACTATTGACGGGAGTTATTTTTTGACACATTGTGAAACCGTTTGATCTTTAGCACGTGCGTCAATGAGGCACGAATCCAAAAATAGGGTTCATTTCCGCGCTAATCACCGAAAAATTGTCGATATTGCAGATCTCGCCAGTTCTTTAGCCGAGACGCGAACACTCGTTCTGCATTACCGACAAGTATCGTTAAGATAATCCAATGGCGCAATTTTTTAATTATCTCATAAACATTGATTATAAATCCTTATCTTATAAATAAAAAAATTATACAATTACATAATTCATATTAAATAATTCGAATTAATCAAATAAAAAGTATGTGCCACAACGCAAGTTCTTAGTAGCAAAATAATATTCTGTTGGCATACAATTAATAATTATAAACGTTTCGGCTTTGATTAGACCTTCTTCAATATATATATAAACAACAATAAAAATTTCGGATAAATGTTTACAAATTAAGTCACAGATTAGAACATAAAAATCGCTTAAAAGCGGACTCAAATTAAAAATAAATCAGAAAGATAACGCAAAATGCTCGTTAATAAAAAATTTTTTTTATGATTCGTCAGTGAATTAGATTTAAATTAGCGAGATTTTTATTTCTTATTGGTTCTGATCGAAGCCAAAACGTTTATATTAGGTGTTGGAATTAATTCGTAGCGTTTTACAAGTGATGGGAAGTACTTTCATTAATATATTTTTTAATGCTCATGTGAAATAAATAACATTCTTTCATTAAAAACGCTACGAATTAATTCCAACACCTAATAATTATATACCAACAAAATAAAATATCTCGCTACCAAGAACTTGCGTTGTGGCTAGATATAAACGACGGAAAAATTCTAGAATTTTAGGGTGAAAAATTTTGGAAATAATAGTTTTTTTCCTTCGGGGCTTTGAGTTTTTTACTCGGATATATTTTTTTCTTGAGCATTTTACGATTTCGACACTATTCTGTACTATTATTTCAGAATTTAGTTTTTACTTCCGTAAGATTTCTGTGTAAAAATAGTTACAAAAGTTAAAATATAGTCGATTGGCTATAAATATACCTTACCTTTCATTATTATTTGAATGATATTTTATACTGTACTTCATTTTTAAAAGTTAAGTAAGTGTTTCATACTGTTATTAATACAAATAATACTTTATTAGACTAATTGACATTGTTTTTGTTGTATACTATGATTGTAATTATACATATTCTAAATTTATTAAAATCATGAGATAACGTTCATCGAATCTTTAATTACTTTTGAATCAATATTATAGTGGGATGTTTTCACAAAATAATTAAAATATAAAATGCAAAATAATTAAAATACACAGTATAATTATAATCAATAGGCAACAAAACAGTATCTATTATGCTCATGAAGTATTATTTATATTAATAACATCATTTATTTAGTTTTTAAATGTAAAATATCTGTCATTCAAATAATATTATATTGAAATAACTATCTGTTTTTTCATAAATTTTATGTAATTTGGTAAAAAATACGTCATTTACAGTAAAAAAATTAGTGTTTTACTTGATATTTTTCTTCGAAGTCAAAAATACCGTTTTTTTTTACATTTCCAGTTGTGGCATATGTCCTTTATTTGATTAATTTGAATTATTAGCCACTTGAACTCTTTTATTGTAAATAATTCGAGATATGTTGGATTACGCAAAAGGGCAGGCAGTGTGTAATAGCAAAAACGTGACTGTATTTCATAAAAGCTTGAGTAAAATACATACTATGTAGCTGTGAAGCATATATCTGCGTAATTACAATTATTGATTAGAATCTTTTACGTTATCATAAAATTCTATACCATATACGACCATTTTTTTTTATATACCGAACGACATGTATATTTTGACATGTATATAAATCGTTCGATATAACATAATAAACAACGCTTTGACCTGATTCTCATATATCGTTTATGTATAATACACCTGTTATAAACAAGGGTTCTTAGAGATACGTAACGTCAGTCACCTCGTATTACAAAATCGGAGGAAAAAGAATTGCGCGAATAATTTATAAATAATCACTCGCGTGATATAAATTTGAACGAATCTTATATTAAGCGAGACGATTTCATATAATCTCATATAATTTCTCTGCTTCTCGTATCATAATTCGTGGTAACCGACGTGCAAAAGGATATCAAGAATCTTCAGTAAACGAAAAACAGTCGATCTTTCGATATTGATTTCCACAACATTTCTCAAAGTTTCAAGCGTTCCGGATTCCGCTGTGGAACGAAGATTTCCTCGAGACTTTGAGAGTAAGTAACGAGAGATATCTCGAAGGCTTTACAAAAAAAACAAAGATCTAAATATCTAAATTTTACAACTAGAGATAGTAAAAATTCAGAAATGAAGTTCCAAGCTTCCTAAATCTGAAAAGTCTGACTTCCCGAACGTTTTCCTAGAACAATGACTCTAAGATCTTCAATATAACAGACAACGGGTTAACACAAATGTATATCGTTGGTATAAAAAAAAAAACAATTTATTAGGAAGTAAACTCTTGAACGCAAGATCTGTCTCTCTCAGGCGCCATGCTTGACACTATCAAATCTCAATAGGCTTAATTCCCAGCTCCAGTGTACCAAAATCTTCCAAATCCCACTTTCTCCGCAAAATATCCTAAGACTAAAAGATTTAAGATTTAAGGGATAAAAGTTCTTGAGGCGATGCGTTTTCCTACATGTTAGCGATCCAAGATTTCAAAATCCAAAGATTCTAAGAGCAGAAACTTCAGAAACGTCCGTGCTTAAGAAGCTAATGATTTGAAAACACATTAATTCTTTAGATCCTTTTTTACATTTATTTCTTAAATTAATAAGATCCTAAAAATATTGTATGAACACTTACATTTTTGTGGATTTACATTGATCATTAAACAAAAATATTTACTTTAAATATTATGTATATATATATATGTGTGTGTATGTATATATATTTATAGACACTTAGATATATTTAAGCGTTTCGAGCATACACTTTTTTTTAGATCCATAAGTCTGTTTTTTAGATTCTCAGATCGTTGGACTGTTGAATCCTTGGAACTTTAGGGCCTTGAATTGTCACATTTCCTCTCTTTCTCTCTCACACACATACACACACACACACACACACTCACGCATATACACATACATAGATTCATAATTATTGAATTCCAAGTTTCTCAGATACCGAAATCTCCCGATCGCTAAGATCTCCCTGAAGTCTGACTCTACCTGATTGCGCATTCTAAGATCAGACAATCCCCTCGAAGGAACTAACGAAACCTTTTCTCTAAAGTTATGCTTCCGCTTCTACCAGTACTGCGTGCGCTAAGTGATTACTCAGGCTCAAAGCTAAACAAATACATACCTGTTAAATCGAGTGAACACCGCGACACTACACCCTAGTTACTTTCGTTTACGTTCTTAAACGCACAGTAAGATTACAATAATATCGCAAATATGCCATGTAGATGTCCGTTCAGCGTTCGCGTTCATTTATTTATGCTATGATTACTTGGAACATGGAAGCAACATGTCAACGTTTTCTTTTTTTTTTTATCATTTCTCTTATGTAGAACACTCAAACGATATTAATTGCATAGTACGATAAAGAGCTCAGTCTGAATGATACTTCAGGCATCATACAAGAGGAATCACCGAAGAAGCGGGAGGTCGAAAAGAATGATCCCGCGACTAACAATGAGAGGCGAGACGCTTTTGCAACTGCATCATTTAACTCTATATCTGCTCATTCAGATCGAAATAATTAAGTCTCTCTCTCTTAGCCGTAGCCCGTGTGTTACACATTAGAGCTGAAGTAGTAGTTAACGAACGGAAACATCCGAGAAGAAAACGCGCCGACGGTGGTGTCTCAAACCAAAGTGCGGGCAATTTTCCCGCGTATCTTTTAGCTGGAACGCACCGTTTAGAGAAGTACCTTGCGCACGACTATATAAAAGGGGTTTCTGTGGAGAGCCCTCTCCTCAACTTGGTGACTTATGTCTTCGCAATGTCCATCGGTGACCCTGGATGGGGCGCGACAATGGGATTCACCGTAGGATTGGGAGCGATGGTCGGCGGTCCACCGGGACTCACGATAGTGGGCGGAATCGCCGGTTTGACGAAACGATCCGAAGTCCGTCTGCTGGATGGTGCCACGATGTGTCCCTGTTTCAGTAAATATTCGCGAACACAAATAAAGCAATCGTTTCCCAGAAATGCCAAAGAGCATTTTCCTATAATTATTAAATGTAATTGTCGAACAATGCTAGATATTAATTGAAGAAAAATTGATTTATGATAAGAATTCTTCTTTAAAGCAAAATTTCTGATAAAAAATATCCTTTAGGAGAAAGAAATATCTCGCGCATCATATCTAACAAATAATCAATTAATTTCCAACATTGAGCAGTTCTGTACACAATAATTTACCCCTGAAGGAGGCGACGAGCTCGCAAATGGAGGAGCAGTCGGCTGACCACAAGCATAGCACCGGTTTGCACTGAAACCCTCTCTGGATGTGGAACCTAGCACGTTAACACCTAATAATAAAACTTGCATTCACATGAATCCGCTAAACACGAAACATGCATTCCGAGAAAATGTCAATTATATTATTTTAGATTTTGTACTTATATCCATGATATAAGAATATAAGGTATTTTCCATTTCCAAGGATGTGCAGTTGTCTTCAACATGGCGGCTCTTTGATCAATCAAAGCGTTATCCTAAGTTTAGGATAAGCATTAGTTATTCTGATTTAGGATAAATATTTGATTGGTTGTCCTGATTTAGTCTGCCAGCCATTACGCGCAATGAAATATCTTATATTCTTATACTATGATTATCTCTCTCTCTCTCTCTCTCTCTCTCTCTCTCTCTCAACGTTCCATTTATTTAAATATTTTCTATCTATATAATCTATATAATCTTGTCAAGACTCACCAGGACTTAGTGGCCTTGAAGAACTAGGCGAAGGATTATAGGGCACAGGACTGGACACCGTGCGAGTTCTTATGTTCCCCCCAGACATCACAATTTCGTTGTAGTGCCGTTCCTCTTCCATCTCCAAGCTGCGAAAATCATGTCTGTGAGATTAGGAACAATAAATATCTTTCAAGTCTAAAATTCAGTTATGCCAAATTTATAGTTTAATATAATTTACAGTTTAAGATAATAAAAATAATTTTAAGATATTATATTAACGAGCAGTTTATAGAATTTAATTCTGACCTGGACTCAGACTCCGAGAGGTGTCTGCACAAGGCTTCGCGACGCTCCACTTCGAGCTGCAGCTTTCGCTGCAGTCTCAAATTTTCCTCGCGTATTTGCTTCTCTTCGTTAACGTATCGCTTCATTTTTTCCGTATCTAAAAACGATCAATGACAAAGATCTTTAGAAGATCGAATTCGATAAAGTTTTCGTTGCAGATCGAAAACAAAAAAAGCGTCTTTAAAATTGTATTTGAAGATGAATTTGGAAATGTATTTACATCGAAGTATTATTAAATATGAATAAGATCACTTAAGGTTAAAGTGATTTTAATCGTACATAACTAATTCGTATAAATTTACGATCAAATATTTAAAAAGGTTGTTAACAATGTAAGCAATAAATAATATATTTTTAGAGAAAAATTATTCTATATTTAATAAACCAATTGTGAATTTTGGAAAAATATTTAAAAATATTTATGCGCCAATAATGAATTTGCAAACTATTTTGTATTAAATTATTAGTAGTTTTATTTAATTTATTATTAAAGATGGCATCCTTACGTTCTTGCTGTGAAATCAGCAAAGTGTGCTTTAATCGAGCGACCTCGCTTCTCAGAGTTTGAATGTGCGTGCTCAAGTTTGTGGCGGTGTCGCCATTGTTGATCTCTCTAGGTGAAGTAGGATCGGAAACAGGTTGATCCAACTTGATCTGCAGCATCCTTTTCTCAGCCTCGAGCTTGTCCATTCGCTTCCACAGCTTGTTCACTAACGCCTCTTGTTCTTGCTCCAGAGTGTTCTCTAATTCGACCTTCTCACGTCGCAACTGCTCCAGGTTGCTCTGCTTGGCCAATGTCTCTGCCTCCAGTTTCTCGATCTTCCTCATCAGCTTGTTCACCAAGCATTCTTGTTCCTGCTCTAATGTCTGCTCAAGTTTGCACTTCTCCTGTCGCAATTGGTTCAGCTTTCGTGATAAGTCGTTGGTAAGACACTCCTCCTCTTGTTCATAATGATGAGCCAGAGTTTCCTTCTCCTTCTTCAAAGCTTGGATTTTCTTCAGCAAGGTGTTGCTTATGAATTCCTCTTCTTGCTCGGCCTTCGCTTGCTACAAATTCAGAGAATTCCAAACGTAAAATATACTCGCTCTTGCTTTTTGCAAATATAGAATAAAATAGAAACAGCCAGTGTCTTAATTAATATTCAAACTTGTTTCATAAATTATTACCAGTATGATATAGTACTACTAAGATTGCATTTCCTTGATACTCAAAGTTCTATTCTTTTTAATTAAATTACAATAAAAGTTGTTCTTTTTAGTTAAACTTCTTATACAGTTCATCTTTCCTTTTTTTCTCTCCAATATGAAAAAAAAGGAAAGATGAATCTTGCAAGAAGTTCAGCTAATAGGCTTAATGTCTGCATCAAATTGAGACTCAGGCCAGTATTCATAATCCGTTCTTATATATTCAAGACCATCTTAAGTTCTATCTTGAGGTGTCACAAATCAATCAGAGGGCCGCATTAGCATAATTAAGACATTACTTAAAACAGTCTTGAAATAAGAACTGACTAAATACCAGCCTGAAAGATTGAATTTAACTAATTACAAGAAAGAAAACCAATATCAAATTCTGCGAATTTTGCTTGGATTGATCAAATTCTATCTTTATTTTAATAGGTTCATCCTTTTTAACTGAATTTCTGGCATAGTTCATCTTTTCCCTCTTTTTCTCCAACGTGAAGAAAAGAAGAAAGTTGAACCTTGCAAGTTCAACTAATATCTGTTTCCCCTAATATAAAGTTAAACTTACTCCTCATCCTTTCCCAGTTCTAAGAACTAGAAAAAGATAAAAAGATAAAAAGTACGTTGAACAGAGATTAAATGTAATCTACATATGGTCGAAAGTGATAAAAAGAACAAGCCTAATTTCTAGTCTGATACAAGCTTAAAGAAACTGAGAAACAAGAAAGAATCAATTCTCACAATGATGACAGACGCCTGACGCAGACCGCGGTTCTCCTCCTGTAGGGCTTTCACCCGCAGCTTGTACGTCTCGAGCTCGACCTTGAGGACACGGTTGTGCTGCTGCAGGGACTCGATGCGCTTCTGCAGCTGCTCGCGCGTAATCGGCGACGGCGGCATCATGATCGGTCCGCCGTCGATCGAGCTGGAATCGCTCTCGGACGCGCTATCGCGATCGGCCATGTTCTCCTTGCAGGTAAACGATAACGACAACGATCACGATGACGACGAGGACGAGGACGATGAGAGTATGCCGGTTATCGCCGGCCGTAGTTCATCGCATGCGACTATTCGGGGATGGAGCACCTAGTATCACCGGCGTGTCCACGAGCACGTGCCTTCGAATTCCACCGTTCACCGATCACTGGAAGAATACGTGGGAGTAACAGGGAGTAAGTAGTGCGATTACCGTGGCGTGATTATCGCGCGGCAGACATGTGCTTCCGTACGTAAGGGATGTACCGCAGAAACGGTATCAGCTGTTTGCGCCGCACTCGCTCGCCAATTGTTTTTGCGACCGCGAAAGTGGCGCGGCGTTCCGTGTTCCGTGACTCGTCGCGCGTCGTGATTCGTGACCGACCGAAGAGACATCTATCATGGAACAAGTCGGAATGATTTTTCCAATTGGAATTATTTCATTTTCCTTAGAAAACACAGTAGAAATTTATTAGCAAATAATTCCGAATTTGGAAAAGATGCCCTGGGGATCGATTGTGTATTTTGAAATGAGATGAAAATAGCGTTCAGAGCTGAGAAAGCAACTTTGTAACTGTTATAAAATTCTGCAATATAATTGGTTTATACGTTTAGATCTATAAGGAATTAAAAGCAAGAAGCAATCGTATTGAAGAATTTTACAACAGTTACAAAGTTGCTTTCTCTGCTGAACGCAGCCAATGTCACATTCAGCGGACTCAATAGTTGAGTGAGCACTTGCTGCTATTCATGTATTCTTCCAGATCTAAAATGCTGATTGGATGATCTAAAAGAATACATCAATAATAGCGAGCGCTCACTCAACTGTTGAGTCTATTGAACGCAGCTATTGTCGTGTCAAAATGGCCGAAGTGCACATAGTACACGATTTCAAGCGTGGTGATTGGTGGTTCATCTTTTAGACCGGTATTCATATTCAGATTTTATATTTAAGACCATCTTAAGTACAGTCTTAAGAAGTCACGAACCGTATTAGCATCTTGAAAAAATTAATAAAAGACGTCATTAACGTTTATCTCGGACGACATAAAATAAAAAACCGGATAAGAAGCAAAAAGACAAAATGTAAAAAAATAGCAAAAAACAAGAAATAGAAAACAAAAAGCACATTGTAGAATAATAGGTCTATTCAACTTGCTTACATTTTTTACACTCAATATCTTCACTTTCTCTCTTTTCGGAATCAAATATATGTCTATCTCATTTTAAGTGTAAAGGTGTAAAAAAGTGTAGTAGCAAGTCGAACAGACTAAATTATAACGAACTTCGGAAGAAACAGGAAATATGTAGCAAGAAATGCAATTGTCGAAAAACAAACAAAGAAAAAGAAAACAAAGAGCACATTTTGTAGAATAGGCTTAAGGCTAATTCTACAATGTGCATTTTGTTTCTGTTTCTTGCTGTCTCTTGTCTTATTGATCAAAAAGGCAAGAGACAAACAGAGACAAACAGCAAGAAACAGGAAACAAAGAGCACATTGTAGAATTAGCCTAATCCAGCAGAAAAATAAGCATTGTATGCCGCCCGATTTACATTGGAAATGCCCTTGATTCTCGCATTCTGTGTGTATGAGCCATTATCCCCCTCCATATGTCATAGCGTGCTGCAAGTGAAAGCGGCCGCGAATTGGCATCACTGTCTTTCTTTCCATTGACTGTTGTATGAGAATACGGGTTCATGTGAGTCTGGTGCCAGTCAAGAGACAAAAAGACGGATTGATTTCATTGATTAAGAAATTGTAATTCGATATCAACAGTTTAAAAACACTGTATTCTAATATCTTTTGGGTAAGTATCTAGTTATATTTTAATAATAATATACATATTCGATTGTCTTTCATGTAAAAATAAAAAAGTCTAAGAACAAAAACATATCGCTCTGTTCTATGAAATGAGATACTTGATGATCCAGATAGCCAAGTTTGTAGATAGAGACAGATTTTAAGCAGAGCATTCTATCAATTTGATAGCAGAAAAATAAAATTTTACACAGTCTGTAATATCTGACAATGTTGACAAAAATATAAAGTCTATTGATATAGATGCTATATCAGTAGACTGGCAGTGGAGTGAACCTCTGAATAAGAGATTTGTTTTCTGTTACTGCACGAGGATTGCACTAGAATTAAACTGCATTGAACTAGTGCAATCCAGAACTGACTAGTGTAAGTGTGCAGGCAAGGAATAAAAAACGTTTTAGTGCAAGATAAAAATGGTGTCCCATATTGTTTCATGGAAGTATTAGATTCGTGAAAATAAATGCAATTCTATTAAAAAAAATTCTTGATTAAAGATAATGATGACACAAATGTTTTTGTATGTAGGCTTGCTATTATTTATATATATTTATCATTTTATTATTTATAAATTCTCAGATAATTATTTAGAAGACGCCTCTCACCTTCAATTTTAATAAAATTATATTCATTTGTCGCATTTTTGCACGAAAGAATCCGGCAATAAAATGTCATGCCTAGGCCCGCAAACCGAGATATTAAGCGTTAAAGTTGACGTCATTGTGATTAGGAAATCTGTCACATCAACTTAATGCAGCGCCGTACACATATTTTAGTCTTATTTATTTAAAATCATCACTTCCGATTTTAATGAAATTAAGCTCATTCGATGCATTTTTATTCAAAACGAAAGCTTACTCTGTTCTTGTGCGAAATGTTGTAAACCTTTAAACGATGAAAAGAAGACGATTTGAATATTAATAAACAAACATTAATATATTGCTATAGAAGTAAATTAGTAAAAAACCTATGCACATGTAGCCAAAGCATGAAAATGTGATCGCAGCACACTGCTTTCATCGCGATATTTCGCAGCTGACAGATTTCCTAACCTCAATAGTCGTCAACTTCAACGCTTAACATCTCGATTTGCAGGATTAAGCACAACATTTTACTGTCAGATTCTTTTGTTTCAAAAACGTGCCGAATGAGCATAATTTCAGGTGAAATTGAAGGTGAAGGGTGTCTTTTAAATAATTATCAATTCTCGCACTTTTGTACAAGGTCTGTTTTCTGTGGCTGAAGTGTACACTAGTGATTGTACTGCTTGCACTGACTCCAAATCTAGTGTAGTCAGTACAGTGAACTCGTGCACTGAGTTCTGTTGCACTGGAACAAAAAGAACCGTCGTTGACGCCATTTTGGGAACAGAAAACGTTTTAGTGTACACTTTTTGAATTAGTGCAACAAGGAGCAGAAAACAAATCTAAGATTTGCAGCTCTTGCTCCGTTTCTGTCGCCAATCTATTGTTCGGTCATATTGCATATAGAATAGATTCCGTCGACAGAATAAAAGCAAAATGCGACCACAGTTGATATCAGTTGCCGACATTTTGCTAACATCGTTGTGCTTACTGGATATCAGCAGGAGGTCGATCATATAATCTTTCTCCTAGCGCTAAACGTGAAAATTTTCCACGCAGACTGATTTCGAATGCCATAACTCGGAAAGTTCTTGTGAAGAAAAGGTTTGTAATCAATGTTCTGGAAATGTTAGCGTATAAAGATATGCTATGAAAAATAGGGAAATTCCGATTTTTGTGTTGACTTTGAAAGCACTTTCCAAGGTCATTCTAAGATCAAATTAATATCATCATCTGATAACTTTTTTAAAACCTATTACTTTTGTTTCAAATATTTTTTAGATAAATCAATATTTTTTGAGATATTAGCCGTTTTATAACTTTTACCATGTACTGTAACACTAAATTTCTTGAAACCTACGACCTGTACGCTCTTGCTTTTTTTCTTAATTTATATCTTATGTTGTCAATTTTTACTGATATCAAGAATCTTCACTAATTTGTTATACAAATCGAAATGGTTTCTTGTGAGTAGCGAACACTAGAGTCACTCTAGTGAGAATCGAGACACAAAACCAGAAGAATGCCATGTTTCTTATCGGAAGTGGCTAATAATTCTGATTCTTCTTTAATAAATGATATCTGCCTTTCCTCGGAAAAATAAGGAGAGGATCAATACGGCCAAAATTAGATTGGCGATAATTATTTTAAGCTAATTAACTTATCGACCGAAGCGAAAAAACGTTCGTTCCGGCGTCATCATCTTGACAAACGTGATACTACAAAAATTGCTTTCATTCCTAGTGAAAATTTTTCTTATAATTTTTCATATAATTTTTCAGAATTTCCATATAATTTTATAATTTTCTCACATTTCTTTATACGAATTGGAACATTTCTCAGAAAATCTACATCTTTTCTCAGATTTTTCGTATATGTTAATTATGAATTGTAAGATTTCTAAAATTTTTTCATAAGTTATTATAATTTCTGATGAAATGGTATAAAATTTAAAAAATTTTAAAATATTTTTTAAACATTATGGGATGAGAAATTTCCGAATATTTTAGAATTCACTTGTATGAAAAATTCTGAGAAAAGATGTAAACTTTCCGAATATTTTGAGTATTTCTGAAAAATGTTCCAATTCGTGTAAAAATTATGAGAAAAATTTTCACTAGGGCACCTATTCATTTATATTCACTAACACATTAACAAACTGAAACATAGCGGCACCAATCATGAAGAGAAACTTATGTCTCGACTCTTACTAGAGTGAGGGCCTGCGCATAATAGAACAAATATTAGGAACAAGAATAAATATTAAGATTTCAACCTACCAGATACCAGTTTCACTGGAATACACAGGTTTTTGATAAGTTGAATCTGAATATTTATTCCTATTTTCCTAATATTTCCTCTATTGTGTGTAGGGCTTAACTTTAGCGAACCCTAGCGATCATATAATTTTTTTTCCACTCTAAAGAAAAAGTTATATGATCGCTACCCTGTTCGTGTTGCTTGAAATCCCTAAAAATATTAAATCTGTTCTTTTTAGTTAAAGTTCTTGCACGATTCATCTTTCTTTTCTCTTAATGTTGGAGAGAAAAAGAGAAAGGATGAACCGTACAAGAAGTTCAGCTAAAAAGAACAGGCTTGTTTACACTTGAAATGAGATAGATATATTTTGAATGTTGAAAAGAGAGAAAGCGAAGATGTTGAATACAAAAAGTGCAAACAATATGAACAGATCCAATGTGTTTTGAAAATTTGACTGTTTTAACTCAAAATTCTCATATTTCCAGAACTATCCCTATACTTAAAAAATTTTGCTCTTAAATTTTGTTTTGTTATAATTTTTTCTTTATCTTTCTTATCTTTGTATTTATTTGTATTTTGAAATTTTTGTATTAAAATTTTTAACTCGAATGAAAATGAAAAATCTTTCTTTTTTTTTATTCAATTGTGCTTCATGTAATTCTTATAAATGAATAAAAAGATCTTAGGTATTGAAATAAATTCAAA